ACTGTATTCGAATACTCTCCAGTATACGAATACTTCTTCAAAGGTATCTGAATACTTTTCTTCCCAGAAAAGTATCCCAATACTCCTGCAAGGAGTATTCGACTACCAGTGAACAAGTATTCGAATACCACTCGAAAAGTATTTGAATACTTCTTCACCAGAATGCAGAAATACGAACAGTGATCTGCATAATCCCATTTTTAAAGGTCCAAATGCGATTGGGAGTCCAATGACTCCCTAAACAGATAAACAACAACATGTTATAAACCCAGAAACACATTCATTTACTTAAATGGTCCAAGTTTCACTTATTAACCGATTAAACAAGCTTAAAACCTCAAAATGACAAAGAGGTGATCATGGCTCACCTCAAGAGCTCCAAACTCAGAAAATGAGAGTGACTTAGAGCACTCACAACAGCACCAAGCTACTGACTTTAAAAAAACCACGAATTTGACCATCAAAGTTTGGATCTTTGCTACCAGGAAAGCTCCTTGAAGCTTCCAAAGGCAAGGAAATGGCTCTCACCAAAGAGGACCAACAACTCAGCCCACAAACAGGGAGCACAGTCTTCCCACACACAAGCTAAAGACAACAACAACTCAGAATATGGTGGCTCTCAATTTCACAATATACACTCTCAAAATCTATGGTGATTCAATGAAGAACAAGGAAGAAAGGCCACTTGGCTCTCAAGGTGCAAGGAGACCAGCAATGGAACAGTGCCAAAGGGCTGATCAGCCACCAAAGCCACGTTGAAGAATAAGAAATGCCTAGGGTTTAGTGCAAAAGTTGTATTTATAGCCGGTTTAAACTTAAACGCACTGTATTGGCGCTAAATGCTACTCAATTTTACAAGATTTATCATATTTTTATATTAATTTTCGTAGCACCTTTTCGGTACGCGCTTTTCCATAGCCAGTACCAATTCTGGCACCAGTTCTCATTATTTTAACTTGAAACTTGAAATCACAGTCCTACATATTATTCTAGGAAAATTCATGCACTTTTTATAATTTTTCAGGATACTTCATCGGTACGCATTTATACCGAGTAGCAGAACCGGTATCTGCACCTTTCGTCAGAAAAGCGACTTTCAGCATTATTACTCACCTACTATAATTATACAAGCCTTCTCATAATTATTAGGGTCAATTATAGAATTATCTCATTAATCACATAATTATCTAATGAAATTCCTTAATTAGCGGTGAGGGTTCTTACATAACACTTGAACTTTGTGGCAAGGCCACGCTCGATCTTGTATATGCGAGTCTTGTGCATGTACAAGTAGTTTGTGGGTTGATTGATCTCCATGACTCTAGGTTCTTATGTTGATTATTGATATGCTTCATAAGTAGTTGGCATGTTAACACCTGGAGTAGTGTAAAGCATGAAATAAGTACGATAAATTATGGTAATGTATCAATGTTATTTCACCTTTAATTGACTCTCGATTTTCCAGATACCATGGAGATTGAGGTATACCGTTGCATAGAGTTTTTGATTTATTATGTTATTAAAATTGAAAATTTTGCAGGTGTACGTGAACTAAGGTACGTTACTATGTGAATGAGCATGTTAACTAACATGTATTGGTAGAATTGAACATGATTATGATTTTGTACTGTGAAAGGAATATGAATTCATTTTGAAAATAATGATTTGTAAAATTGTAAGTCTAGTCGATGTTAGAGTCATGGAATAGGACCAAACTCACTCAAGTTTTTTGTGGTTTAGAGGATTTGGGGTCAGGTCACCTCTATTTAGAAAGTGACTGGTGATCCCAGAGAATCAAATGACGTTTTGATGTCATTGTGAAGTTTATAGTTTTGACGGTGACTTCCTTGTTTGGGGGTGCACTTCTCGAGACGGAGACTGTGAGAGTCGAGATCAAGCGTATGGAAAAATCCAAGAGGCGCAAGTGCAGCGAGAGTGCCTGGACTACGTGAAGAACCAAGACAGCGTGTCTTGGAATGAGTATGGGCTTTTGTGGTTCCTCGAGGTTCTTTGACCGAAGAGGTTATGGCAAAGGCCCATAAGGGCCAGTTCACGGTTCACCCTGGTGCTACAAAGATGTATCAAGACTTGAAGAGAAGTTTCTGGTGGCCGGGTATGAAGAAGGGCATAGCTGTGTATGTGTCCAAGTGTTTGTTTCGCCAGAAGGTAAAGATAGAACACCAGAAGTCGTCTGGTAAACTTCAACCTCTAGAGATTCCGGAATGGAAATGGGAGAGCATTTCCATGGACTTCGTGGTGGGTTTGCCGAAGACTCAAGTTGGCTGCGACTCTATCTGGGTCATTGTGGATAAACTGACGAAGTATGCCCATTTTCTTCAAGTGAAGGTGAGCTTCACTACTGAGCAGTTGGCCAAACTGTATGTTCGCGAGATTGTGAGGCTTCACGGGGTGCCCGAGAGTATCATCAGTGATAGGGACCCAAAGTTCACATCTCGGTTCAGGGAGGCGTTGCAGGAAGCTTTCGGTACGCAGTTGAGATTGAGTACCACCTATCACCCTCAGACTGATGGACAGACTGAGCGGACCATCCAAGCCTTGGAGGACATGTTGAGGGCTTGCACTTTGGAGCAGGGCTCAGCATGGGATAAGTACCTACCATTGGTGGAGTTTTTGTATAACAACAGTTTTCATGCTAGCCTGGGCATGGCACCCTACGAGGCGTTGTATTAGAAAACAATTCTATAATTGACCCTAATAATTATGGCTTAAATTATATTAGTAAGTGAGTAACAATGTTGAAAGTCGCTTTTCGGACGAAAAGTGCAGATACCGATTCTACTCCTCGATGTAAATGCGTACTGATGAAGTATCCCGAAAAATTATAATAAGTGCATGAATATTCCTAGAATAATATATAGGACTGTGATTTCAAGTTTCAAGTTAAAATAATGAGAACTGATACTGGCTATGAAAAAGCGCGTACCGGAAAGGTATTGTGAAAAATAATATAAAAATATGATAATTCTTAGAAAAATGAGTAGGTTCAGAATCCTAAGTTTGGGATTAAAATGTTAAGCGTACGTAGCTATTAGAGCTAATATTGTGTGTTTAAAACTTAAACCACTATAAATACTCATTTTTGGCTCAAAACCCTAGGCCATATCAATTTTTACGTGAACCTTGTGTCTCCCATTTCTGACTTGGTGCCTTCTCCTCTTGCCACCACCATTTCCTCCTTGGAAAACCAACAAATGATCATCTTTTCTCTTGGTTCTTCCTTGTAAACACTTAGTGGCTTGTGTTGGGTGAGTGAGAAGCATATTTTCTGAGTTGTCATCTCTGTTTGTTGAGGTTCTTGGGGCTGACTTCTTGGTGGGAGTCTTAGGAGCCATTGTAGTGGCATTTTGAGCTTCAAGAAACTACCTTTGGTGAGAAAGAACCAATCTTTGGTGTGCCATTTTCGTTTGCCTTCAAGTCAGAACTGTAGAGGCAGTGTGGTGAGCTCCAAGAGCCATTGTTGCTCTGTTTGAACCTTGGATAAGTGTTACCAATCATTGATCATGAGTTTTAATGGGTAAAAGTGGAGTCTTGCCATGATTAATAAGATAAACAAGTAACCAACGTGATAACTTACCTATAGGGGTTTAAAGATGCATGCTTTAACGTTTTTAAGTGTTAAAAATGGAACCTTAGAAGTGATATCTCGTGAAATGCAGAAATGAAATAGTTCATGGTTCATGTATGGCTAAAAGTAGATATAATCTTGATGTAATTAGGCTCAAGGTGCTGAAATTTGGGCTGATGTCTCTAATATGAATGAAGGTAGAATGGATAGGGGATATAGTGAGGTCTAGTCAAATGGGTCCCGCCAGATACTGATTGGATTAAGCTAAATACAGATGGTGCTTCAAATGGTAATCTTTGTAGGGCTACTTGTGGGGGGCTGATTCGTGGGTCAAATGGGAGATGGTTAGATGCTTTTTCTTATAGGGTGTGTTTTTGCAATACTTTAACTGCTAAATTATGGGGGATATTTAAAGGGTTGGAACTTGCTTGGAATGGTGGTTGGAGAAAAGTTATACTAGAAAGTGATTCATCTACTACTATCACTCTGCTCACCAAATCTGGTGATGCATCCTGTGTGTCTCGACTTATGACTCAGATACGGGAATGACTATCAAATAACTAGACAGTTCAACTGGTGCATACATATAGAGAAAGTAATTCTTGCGCGGATTGACTGGCTAATTTTTTGCTGGAAAGAATGGAACAAGAGGACTATTTGACTTTCCAATCTCCTCCCCCTGATATTAAGTGGTTGTATTTTTCTGATTTTAGTTCTGTTCATAGGACTAGAGTTTCTCGTTTGTAGTTTGTTCGCTTTTTTGTTTTGGGCTATGCCCTTATTTAAACCAAAAAAAAAAAAAAAAAAAGATTGCCAAGAATTCAAGCACATGTACTAAGAAAGAAACACATCTTATTTACTGGTTATGTTTTATTGTTTTTATATCAATAAGTTGATTACTACTTTTTTTTATGTTAAGTAGAAGTTTTCTTTTCTTTTCTTGTTTAAGGATTATATCCCTTATGTTATATGAACTAAATTATTTATCATGTTCAGAAAAAGACAAGTTAATATTAAAGAAAGTGAGAGGGCACATTATTCAATGAATTGGTCTTTTTTTCTTAACATGACAACAAATTTGGTTTATGTAACATGGGGATATAAACCCTTCTTGTTTATATTCTTTTATTTTTTAATGCATTTAAAACTTTGTTTTAAAAAAAAAATTTGGGGCAGCATGGCATTAAATGTGCAGGCATAAATAAAAATTTCTATTAGTTCATGTTCACCCATTCAATTTTTTGTTATGTAATTTAGACTTTAGACAAATGCAATGAATATTGATGACTGCAACAAAGAGGAAGACAAGGAGATTAATAATATATGGCCTTGGATTTATTGCTATTTGATACTGAAAGTCTTATTCATGTAACATGAAATGAAAAAGGAAATACACACAAGTTATTTTTCCATACTAAATCCTTGCAAAATCAAGAGACTTCTTTCCATCATGAGAATTCCCAAAGAAGTGGTTCATGTAATCTTGGAACACAACTTCCCTATAACGGGCCAACCCATCTTTCTTCATCACCTCTGGTAATGGGCCAATCTTCTCTGTAACTATAGGCACAGTAAACACTGGAATTGATACTCTGGATTGGGTGCTCGTTGTCTTTACTCGGTGTTCAGCACTCTTATACTTCCCATTGCTCAATATCTTACATCAATAAAAAGTAAAAACAAGGTTAGTTAGAAATATATATAGAATTATTTATGTGATATTTACTGGACAAAGTTAACTTGTTAGATTGAATTAGTTGTCTCATAAGTAATTCAATTAAATCAAATGGTTATAAAAAATATTAAATATAATGGTTTGAAATTATTAAAAAATAGAATGGCAAATACTAATGTTAATGAAGATAATGTTATTAAAATCAGTTCGACTCGGATGATTCGATCACTTGTATCGAGAATCAGATCACTAACTGGTTCAGTTCAATTAATTAATTAGTCGTGCATGCAATTCGAACAAATAATTCTTTACAAGGAAGTGTGTGAGAAATATTGATATTAAATTTAAAAAAATAAAAACCATAAGATTTTAGATTAAATTAATTATTTGGCACTATTATTCTAGAGTAGGTTAGCATATATTCATTGGTTCAATGTGTGACTAAAATGATATTATTATATCATGGGAACTTAGGCTGCACCCCATAAAATGTGACTTATATTAAGTGAAAGCATTTAAAAATTGAGTTATTACGTGCCAACTAAAAGTGGATTTGAATCTCTAAAATTTGAGTTATTTACTTAAATATCTGATTTTAAGATATCAAACCTCTAGAGTATCACCAATATTGATGACTAAAGCTCCAGGGATTGGTGGAATTTCCACCCACTCTCCTTTTCCAGCATCATTGTCTTCTTCCACTTTGACATATAAGCCACCAATGCCATCTTGGAGTAGCACTGTGATAGATCCCATGTCTGAATGGCGCCCTACACCCACTGTGAGCTCTGGATTTGGGCATGTGGGGTAGTAGTTCATGTTAACCATCCTCATACCAAGAAGACCCTCAATTTTTGAGTCATCTAGTTCCACTCCAAGCTTACCTATCAAGGTTTTCAGGATGTCTCTAGCCATCTTGGACGATAACCTCAAATAATCAAGTGCAACTTCCCTGCATATACAGAAAGAAATAATTCAGACCCATAAATGCTATTGCAGAAACTGTCTATTATTATTTAGCAAGTTTGTCATGTACACCAATTAATCCTTCAATGTGACTATAGCATATGTACTATTGATAAAAACAACTATCTCAACTAACAGCTCAAGTTGGTTGATGAAGGCATTGTTGTAAAACCCGGCCCGACCAGGTTGAGTTGACTTGGAATCTGGTGAACCGGTCATCAGATCGGTTTGGATCAAGCATTAAACCGGTTATGCATCGACCCGGTCAAATTCAGGCAAAATCGGTCAAATCCGGTGACCGGTCGGGTCATGCATATAAAAAAAACAAAAAAGCCAAAACTATTTCATCTTATCAGAAAAAAATGTAGAACTCATTTTAATTTTTTTTTAAAATTTTATTTGCTAGTATACTCTTCTACAATGACATCAAATTTTAGTTTCCAATACTGAAGCAATTTACAGAATAATAAATTAGTGAATGTGATATATGTCATTTTAATGTAGTTGAATTTGAAAAATATGAGTTCAATGTCATTGAGAGGTATGTTTATGGGAATTCTGAATTACAATTTAAATTGACATAGTAATAGCATGCATTTTTATTTATTTATGCTTCATGTTTTTGAGCTTATTTAGTGGACCTTGTTTAATTCATTTTAGATATGGAGAATATAATTGAATTTATATGTTCATATTTATATATATTTTTATATATCTATATATATCCGGGTCAAGCGATCCGACAATGACCCACCGGTCCGACTAGTGATCCAGTACCCCAACCGGGTCGATGCCCGAGTCGGATTTAATAACACTGGTTGAAGGTCTATAGATGATTTTACATTTTTCAAATATACTCACTCACGTAAAAATCCTAAGTTTAAAGTGCGGTGAGAATCAAGCTCATGATTCGTGATTACGGAGACTATGATACCTTAATGTAATAAGCATCTCACCAAACAACTTAAGCTAACAAGTGAAGGCCCGTCAATAATTTTTTATTTTCGTAACAATTATCGATGCTTCAATTCTACAAGACTCTTGGCATCATGCGGTGTGTCACCAAAAAATAGTATAAAATTATTAATGTGTCTTCATGTAGCAGTTTAGGATATTTAGTTCACAACAATATTTGATATTTTCAAAAGTGGATAATTTAGTAGAGAGAGTAGAAAAACATACTTGCACTGATTAGGCCAATATTGAAGAGCCTCTTCATCACTGCTATATACCATACTGATATAGTCCTTCCATTCCAAGGCCTTCTCTTTCTCAGGAACAAAGCTAGTCCCATATTTTATCTTTGGGCTTGGGCTCACCCCTGTGCAGTAAACAGCTTTATTCTCTGGTGGCAAGTTGAAGAATGCGTGTGCTGCATCTTTAAGTGATTCCAATAACTCCACAGGAACACAATGGTTGATTACCTGAAAGAAACCAAGAGTCTCAGCTGCTCTAACAATCTCATCCACCACCATGTCATGCTCAGGACCATTGAGCTTTGACAAATCAATAGGTGGCACATCATGTGGCCTCGAATCTCGCTTATTGATTCGTTCATGTGGGGGTTGTATGTACCTCTCTGGCACCTCTGATAAACCTGAGTCTACCAAACCTTTCACCCCATTCCCATCTTTTACAACAAAGTCATATAATGAATTTGAAGGGTTGAAACTTGGAGCCATGTCTAAGAGTGAAGTTTGTTTATGGTTTGTGATCGTGTAAGATAACAGTGCAAATTGCTATGATCAAATGCCAAAGGCCTAGTCCACTATATATATAATGGAATGTGTAGTAGGTACTTCTACTCTGAGGGCAAGATTCAGGGCTTCAAAGAAGTAAACGTTTGAAAAATGCACTCGTTAGTCTAGATAATGCATTATATAATACGCATATCTTACATGTTTAAACTGTAATTAAATATTGAAGTCAACGTAATGGGAATTAAATAAATTAGAAATAGGAATTATTGTACACAATAAACAATAAACTAGAAGTAGGAAACTGCAAATTGGAGGAAAGCATGAAGAAAGACACTGCAGTAGGTGATTTATTCTACACACTAAACTGTGGAGTTTTTGTTTCCTAAGCAAATTAGTAGATGATAGGAATGAAATGATTACAAATACTCATAATAAACAAGTAAATTTGCAGACAATCACCGTGAATCAACTGGCAATGGATTGTCATAAAGTTCTCCGATCAAATAATAGAAACCAATTAACAGAAGAGCAACTTTTCTGGAATTATATTCAATATACTATTAATCTGGTAAAAGGTTCAGTTCAACAATCTCTCAACAACGATTACAAGGAATTAAAAATAGTCTCAACCATTAACAAGATAAAGAACAATTAACAGATAGTGTGGAGCACATAGAGAGGCTCCACTCTCTCCCAATTCCCCTAAGGGACCCACAATCCATATTCTCCCAGCGTGTCCCCTTTGTGCCTTCCATTCTCTCTTTATTCATGCCTCCGTAACTAACTCCCTTCCACGTTGGTAATCCGTTGAGTGACAGTGAGGGCAGTGAGGTCATCCTGATGGTTGGTGCCAAATGGGCCTTGTTGTAAGTTGGGTTTAGGAGCCCAAATCTTCGTGTCCTTGCTCCTTTGATAGACTTTTACTGGGATTGTATCAATACTTTCCCCCAATTTAAGCACCTTGTCCTCAAGGTGGAAGTGAGGAAACTGACGGTTGAGCACTAGGTATTCCTCCCAAGTATTTTCAAAAGCGGGCAGATTTCGCCATTTAATCAAGACCTCTAATGGCTGCTGCTGGGAACGGCGCCACTGGAGGACTTCCTCTGGTTCCACCTGCAATTCCCACTCGTCAGATAAACAGTCAGGAGGGGGTTGTACATTGGTTACAGTAACTGTTGCTGGTTTCAACAATGACACATGAAAAACTGGGTGGACTTGACAACCAGCAGGCAATTGCAATTTGTAAGCTACAGCCCCAATTCGTTGGAGAATTTTAAACAGACCATAGAATCTTGGGCTTAATTTTTCATTCACCCGCTTGGCAAGACATTTGAGCCTGTAAGGTTGCAACTTTAAATAAACGAACTCGCCCTTCTGAAACTGCACATCACGTCTCTTCTTATTGGCTTGCTGCACCATGCGATTCTGGGCCTTGAGTAAATTCTGATGCAGCTCCTGAAGCATATGATCCCTCTCATTTAAAGTCCTAGAAATCTCATCAAGGGCAGAAACAAAGTGATTAGCCTTAAGCAAAGTAGGAGGGTCCATTCCATAAAGAACTTTGAAAGGAGTCAACCCGGTAGAATCCTTGTAGGTGGTATTGTACCAATACTCAGCCCATGGAAGCCATTTTGGCCACTGTTTAGGCAGGGGACCGCACATACATCACAAATAAACCTTAAGGCATCTGTTAACTACTTTCGTTTGCCCATTTGCCTGTGGGTGGTAAGCTGTAGTATAATGCAGTTTGGTACCCGCGCATTTAAAGATCTCAGTCCAAAAAGAGCTCATAAATAAACGGTCTCTATCTGAGACAATAGTGATAGGGAACCTATGTAGCCTGACCACTTCTCTAATAAACAGATCAGCTACATCTTTGGCCGAATAAGGGTGTTTAAGAGTCAAAAAGTGCGCATATTTAGAGAAACGATCTACCACCACAAAGATGGTATCCACTCCGGAAGCTTTAGGCAATTCCCCTATGAAATCCATAGCTATATCAGCCCATACCTTGTTACGGATAGGTAAAGGCTGCAATAACCCGACTGGTGACAAGCTTTGAGTCTTACTTTGTTGGCAGGTAACACATGCTGCCACAAACTCTCTTATACGTTTTCTCATGCCCTCCCAATAGACTAAGCCAGCTATTCTTTTGTAGGTACGAAGGAACCCCGAATGACCCCCTACTCCCGAATTATGAAATTCCTCTAAAAGTGGTACAATAAACCTCGAGTTTGGGGGGACTACCAACCTGTCATTGTAGAAAAGTCGTCCTCCTGCGAGCTTAAATCCGTCATGAGCCTCAGAATTGACCACCAAGTCATGTACTATGGACCTCAGCCTACTCTCCTGCTGAACCTCATGGTCCAAGACATCCAGCTCGGGCAGTTGTAATCTGGACAAACTTGCAAACTGCTCCTGCCGAGAAAGAGCATCAGCCACGAGATTTTCCTTGCCCGGTTGATATTGTATTTCAAAATCAAAACCAATCAGCTTGCACATCCATTTCTGCTGGTCCTCCCCTAATACCCTTTGTTCCAGTAGGTGCTTTAGACTTTTTTGATCTGTTTTTACAATAAAATGGCTACCCATCAGATAATGTTTCCACTTCTGGATGGCGAACACAATTGCCATTAATTCTTTTTCGTAAATAGATTTAGTCATTGCTCTTGGGGAGAATCCTTGACTGATATAAGCCAGTGGCCGATTTTGCTGCATCAACACCGCCCCAATACCCTTCCCTGAGGCATCAGTACAAACAGTGAAAGGCTGCTGGAAGTTTGGCAAAGCCAATACAGGCAATGAGCACATGCAATTATTAAATTCAATGAAAGCAGCCTCTGCCTCTGACCCCCACTTGAAACTATCCTTATTGAGCAAATTAGTTAGTGGCTTGGCTATTTTCCCGTAGTCCTTAACAAAAACTCTATAATAACCAGTGAGGCCTAGGAAACCTCTTAATCCCTTGATGGTTTTAGGGATTGGCCACTCCTTCATTGCGTGCAACTTGCTTGGGTCAGCACTAATGCCCTCTGCATAAATAATATGCCCAAGGTACTCCACATGATCACTGCCAAAGCAACACTTCTTCTGATTCACAACGAGTCTATGCTGCCTAAGAACTTCAAACACCTTTCGTAAATGTTCTTCGTGCTCCTCCCTACATTTACTGTATATCAGGAAATCATCTAGGAATACCAGAGTAAACTTGCGCAAAAATTCCCTCAGAATCTCATTCATCAATGCTTGAAAGGTGGAAGGTTCGTTTGTTAGTCCGAAGGGCATTACTAAATATTCGTAATGCCCCTCGTGTGTCTGAAAGGCTGTCTTCGATATATCTTCCTCCCTCATGTGTATCTGGTGATACCCAGACTTGAGGTCTAACTTGGAAAATATCCTTGATCCCCCTAACTCGTCCAGAAGCTCCTCCACCACGGGAATAGGGAATTTATCTGGCACGATAAATTTATTCAGAGCCCTATAATCGACGCACACCCGCCAGCTACCATCCTTTTTCCTTACCAAAATCACTGGGCTAGAATAAGGGCTCGTACTGTGACGGATCCAGCCATATGACAACAATTCAGAAACCAACTTTTCTATTTCAGTTTTTTGGTAATGAGGATACTTGAAAGGCCTGATGTTGGGTATCTGACTTCCAGGCTGGAGATTGATGGCATGATCACACTCTCGTTTAGGTGGTAGTGCACTGGCTGATTGGAACAAATCTTTGAATTCTTGTATTAATCTTTGCAAACCTTCCCAAGAACTCCCTCATGCTGCCCTTACGTCCTTCTCTGAACTCAGAAAGTAGCCTTCACCTTGGTCATGAGTAGCCTTGACAATGGATTTGAAAGAGACCACTGACCGTGACAGAGTACTATCCCCTTTTATCAGAACTTCAGTATTCCCTTGCCCAAAACGAAGGGTCATTTCCTTGAAGTTTGCCCCTGATGTCACCTAACTGGGTAAGCCACTCCAGCCCAAGTACCACATCAGCCCCACCCAGCTCGAATAGGTAAAAATCTTGTATGATCCGTGCAGATTGGACTTGGAGTTCCACACTTTTACAGACGCCATGGCACTTTACTTTGTGACTGTCCCCTAACTCAACGTTGTACTCCGACGTGTCTGTCACTGGCAGTCTCAGTTTGTCCAGCGTTTCCTTCCGCACGAAATTACTTGTCGCGCCACAATCCACCATGACGACAACCCTTTGCCCTGAGATTTCACCCCATGCCCTTAAGCTTTGGCTTGAAGTGAGCCCTAAAAGACTGTTGAGCGACAATTGCAAGCCCTTCCCTTCGTCATCTTCGTTCAATTTGTTAGGCATCTTTGTGTTCCCTTCGTCTCCCTGCACTTCCTCCTCGTCATCGTTGTCTACCAACAACAGATGCAGTTGTGGTATTCGACACTTGTGACCTGGTCTCCATCGCTCCTCACTTTTAAAGCAAAGCCCCTTTTGATGACGATCTCTCCATTCCGCTTGTGAAAGACGACGACCCTGACTCAAATAGCTGTCCGACGCACGATTTCCAGCAACGGACGTCGAACCCGCTGACGAAGACCCTCCCTTCACGTTCTCCGTCGGTGCGTTTTGGGGATTAGGGTAATTCATTTGTGTGGACGAACTAGGAGTGGTGAGGCTTTGGTGTAAAGACCCGATTGGGCCAGCTTGTGGGTTGCCACTCTTCTTTTGTTCATTTGGGCCCATATTATTGCGTTGGCCCAAATTCGAGCGTCCAGCACTCCCAGCCCAGCTCCTTCCCATTATACCTATCCCTTCCTCCACCCACGCTGCGTTTCTTCTTTCTATCTTCATCGAGTATTTCATCATATCCGCTAAGTTCAACGTCGGCAACATCATCAGTTCCTCCCGAATGTTGTTCCTTACTCCATTGAGCCAAGCGCCCTTGAGCAACTCTTCATCTTCGAACCTTAGAACACCCACCACCTTCTCAAACTCCGTGCGAAAGTCAGCA